TGGTTCACTGCTAGGCAATTTTTCTCGCTAGAATCTATCTTACATATTTATTAGTCTACCATTCATGCTTGCTTTGAATAATGTTGACATAAATGGCCTGGTGCTTCTGTTATATATTTAGAGATTCTTGATAAAATCCAAGGAAGAATCTCCTATGTTATCGGTCCTGGCCTGGTAAGTTCTTGTTTGGCTCACCGGCAGCGTCCTGCAATGCGCATTCTGCGTTCAACTAAGCTTGTAGAAATATCAGTATTCGCTGAAAGTACTTTCGACCTAAAGAATTATGTAGCATTTTGAAATTCAAGGTTATCTAAGTTTATTAATATCTATCTATTTCAATATACAGTACATGCGATTTCTAGATATATATTTATAGCCCAAGTCTTCACACAACAATAGTTTCATTCCTGTCCCTTTTTCGTTCATGTTGTACCCACTATTTTTATTCTTCTTCTTCAGTCTTTGTATAACGTCTTTCTTCAAAGCTTGGATGATCATGGCTTTCAACACTTTCCAATCCTTTTTAAAACTAAGCAAGCTTTGACACCTTATTTATCGTTAGCTTCTCTGTGTATTTTGCCTTCAATATGTCCTGTATATTTAGTTATCTAGAATGTTAATTAAATCCTGTTAAAAAGACTGACTATGAAGTCTCAGATCTTATCGTTCAGATTATTGTGAACTCAACAGATAACATTTTTACTTAGTAATCTTCTCGGACATTAAGATAAAAGAAAACTCAAGTTGAGTTCGTACATATGATCCATCGCTAAAGGTACTGTAAAAAAATATATGCTCGTTTTCTTGTAGAGTTCCCGTATATGCCTGAACCCTCATAATATCCTCTACATTTATATGATCCAGATCAAGTCTAAGATAGATTATTGCTTCTATATATGTGTAGAAGCTTCCCACTTTTTACTTTCCAGTCTCGATACAGTCCAATAACATCTCCGCGTCCTTGTAGGTGATGAATTATTTTCCATTTTACAATCCCTTCCCCACAGACAAAATGTCGCAAATCTCTCATTGGTCTATATAAATGGAAAGTGTTGAGACGAACTACATGCCTTAGTTCCATCAGTTCTAATCTTCCTGACTAAAAATTGTCATTTTACGGACATAGGAGCGAACCACCCATAATGCCCTTTTGTATACCATTGGTGAAAGGTAAGTTCCTCTCGAGCGGCTTAGTCCTGAGAACCATTGATCTGAAACCGACTCCCAACTAAGGGTGGTTTCCTGATCACTCCAATCTTAACCTGTCCATGTCTAGGATTAACCGTTATCTTCCCCACATATACGCATAATCTATGCACCGTACTCCGTAACGCTCTTCCTCCCAGGCCTTTTACAGGGTTAAACACAAAACACACGATAATATCTTTATATATATATATATATATATATATATATATATATATATATATATATATATATATATATATATATATCCCAACCTAAACAAAATCAATTATGGCATCTCTACAAATATTCTTAAATGTCTATAATTGGTAATAGAAGCCATTGGTTTATACCAACGGCTTCCCATACTTCTACAATTCACTCTCGTGTGGTCATGTGAGACGTCATGAGATGCGGTGCGATTTTCGCTTCTAGCATCTTATATGTGCGTGTTTATCGTTGCTTAGAAATCATCTATGTAAACAATGACAGACTATCATCACTGTCGTGTCCGTATATTGTTTAATATGTTGTAATTGACATCTTTGATAATGGCTTAAGTAAGCCGAAAGCTTAGATTGTATTAAAAAAATATGGATCAATATTGTGAATTTCTTTCTTCGTTCAACGATAATGTTATTAAACTTATCAGACGTTATGAAAAGAATTTACATAAAATAGACAACACTTGTCTATATTATTTAATGAAACGTGCATGAATATATATATATATGTGTGTGTGTGTGTGTGTGTGTGTGTGTGTGTGTGCGTGCTTTGAACAATTAAAAATAGTAAAAAATTAAAATTTTCAGACACTCTGGGTTGTATATTAATATTTTTTGTTTTATTGTTTTAATTAGGGTTCATCGAATAGTTTTGTCCAGCATGGCTATCATCAGGAGAAAAAAAATCATTGCTTGTTAGTAGCAGTGCACTACAGGAGGTGACTGACTGTTTCTGAAGAAAGTGAAATTTATCTGTAGTTTTCATTTGTTTTTTTAAAGTTAATTTTGGTCAGTCTTTGTGCTGGTCAAACGGCCTCATTGAAGTTAATTTTAAGATAGGTGACTGGAGATTCCTGACTTTCAGATTACTCTGCTTGGTCAGTTATATATATATATATATATATATATATATATATATATATATATATATATATGGGCGCATCAGTTTCAGTGCTTTTATTTATTTTATCTTTTTCTATTTGCCTCGGAATGAAACAACGTTATTCGACAAATTAAAGTTAGTTTTCTTCATAGGATGTTCCTTCTGCCACCCACATATGATAAAAGTAACAGGCAAGTATCGTAAATGTTAAAGCAATGTAATGTATGGCGCCGCTCCCTGTTGAGAAAGGCGTTCTGAAAATAAGTCCGTACACCTCTGCAGACAAAACCCTTCACTGTGCCCAGCATTAAACTTATGTTCTATGTGCTAACACGATTCCTTATCTTTCAAGTCACACTGAACATAAAATATTGATTCAAATGAGAGATCAAAACACCAGACATTAATAGCTGGGATTTTTACGTGGCTGTAACTTCTAATGTAATATAAACATGAATCCCACTCACACCAGTATAAATACACATCAAATAAAATTTCTGGTAGGTATCATAGATATTTGGCACGAGAAAGTAGTTCCTTATAGAGGTTCACTACCTAAATATACATGTGCGTGTTCGACATAGAATATATTTTGCCAGAGATTTTAAGGTTCCATCAGTTGCTTGTTAGGAATAGAAACACACATTTTGTGACTAAGGCGAGCCGAGAGCATATGTATGACCAGATTTCTGAAGAATCCAAAAGATATTACTCACAATTTTTACATAGACTTTCTTTAATTTCTTCAGGTTTTCACATAAAGTTAAATTCCTATACTTTATTACTAATTTAAAAAGGAAAATGCATTTTCAAGAAAGGAATTTATGGATTTCCACCTACGCTTCTGAAGAATTTTCTGGTATGGTGTTTTTGAAAAATAATTATTGCAATTTTTATACATACATAATTTTAAGACATTTTTATGTTTATACGTTCTTTTTATACAAATATTTATGTAAATGCTCCGTTTATAGTAAAGAGTATTAATTAACGAAATTTACCAGCCTGAGGGTCCGAGAAATTTTTATAGAAAATATGCGTCCTCCGGCAGGAATGGACCTGCATCCTATACGCATTCGTCATATAGCCTGACGTGCATTTACCGATTGAGCCAGAGTCTACAATTCTCAATTTCCTTAAATATTTGCATCTATAAAAAGAACGTATAAACATAAAAAGAAAAAAAATAATTGTATATACATACATGTGTGTGTATGTATGTAAATAATATATATATATATATGTGTGTGTGTGTGTGTGCGTCAGAGAGAATTTTTACCACTTTAGACATTATTGTTTGTGGATACTCGTATTTGAATAGACGCTCCGTTTATTTATTATACAGTATATTTGTTTATTTTCGTCTACCTGCCTGAATATTCGAGAAATCTTAAAGAAAAAGTTACGCTTTTTGGCAGGATACGAACCTGCGTACCTCTGGGCAGATTGAGTTACAGTTACAGTTAGATACGCCACGCTCGGATCAACTGAGTTACAAAGAACTAATCGGTCATGCGAGGCCGAAATTTTGCATTTATTTGCATAGATTTCGTGAGATCTATGACGAGAGATGTTTTGCTTAAAGTTAGAATTTCGGCCTTGCCTAGAATGACAGCTAGTGTCTCGTAACAACTGCATGCGTCTGAGTCAAAGCTATATCAGCAGTTAAGCTGGTTTCTAGTACATTATTTTGATGTATTGAATGCCTCTGCTATAGAGAAGAAGAAACGTTTGAGGGATTTTATAAAATACAAATTGTTATGGCGTGAAGAGCATATCACAGTATTTCCAAAACGAAATAGCTTTTGCTATTTCTACGTTCAATTGTAGCGTATTTTTAGCTTCTAAAGACGGACAAAATGCTAACTGCCGACACAACATTAGGCCGACCAAGATTAATTGACGTAAGAAATGAATGGAGGCTTTCTCATCAAGTACGAGCCTACAGACGGGCTACAGTGGTTCAAATAGATAATACAGATGATCAAAGGGATATCCTTCAAGATAAAGTGTATTGATCCTTATATATGAAACTGGTAAGCTAATGGTTAGTGAGTTAACATTTGCTAACTGATGTTCATGACCGAAAGCATCTTTAGTGAGGCGGCATATCTTAAAACTGAACTTTGTCTCAATAGATAAAATAACCTAATTTGATGTTTTGTTTTCTCCTGAACATGTTGGGTGAAAGAGGTTGCCATTTCGTTCTGCGGTAGACTGGTGTCTAACGAAGGCTATAAGACTCAGTGTGTCCTGCTATTCAACTCATAGCGAGATGGGAAGAAGGGTGTGAAATTTGAACTCGGAAAGCCGAGTTCGTATTCCGAGTCAATATACATTACGCAACAACCTACATCAAGTTTACAGCACCTGATATTCCCAACCGGTCACCCACCTAGGTAGAGATGAGGCGCGACTGTGATCGTACGAGAACTGGTGTTCAAACGAGGTATGGCTACAAGCCGGAAATAGAAAGGGGTGTAGTTTAGGTGGATATGTGTGAAAGATAACGATTAACCCTGAATTTGAATAGGTTAAGATTCTATTGGTCGGGAAGGCATCCCCCAGGAGATTATATTCAGCAAAGCAGCAATTCTTGGGAAGAAGCCATCCAAGTGGAACCCAGTTTTTTATGCCTGACGTAATATTGCTTAACTACTCTAATCAAATATGATTTGACTTATGAAGTTAGTCGCAGTTATCAATTAGACGACCATATCATGTTGAAACACTGGTTCTCGTATGCTCCCACTAAGTTAAACAGCGTCGAGCCTGGTCAGTAGCTAGAAGGGTGACCGCTTGGAATACCAGGTGCTGTAAGCTTGGATGCATGGGGGTGTAATGGATAACGGTTCAGGATTGGAAATTGGAGAGCCGGGTTTCAATCCCACTCGGGTTAATTATATTCACTTAAGAACAAATACCCATTTCCAGTGAGGATTACGACCATATAATATTGTAACTACCGGTTCCCGTACGATCACTGAAGTTAAGCAACATAGAAAGGTGAGTGCTTCGATGAGCAGGTGGTCTATTAAATACCGGCGCAGAATTGTTAATCAGAGAGCCGAGTTTCAATTCCAGTTGATTTCATTATGTTCACTTACGCGTAAATAGCCTTGGGAAAGGTATTAATCCACATCTTCTCCCCCCAGCTACGGATTAATTAGTAATACTTTTATCACTAAATCATTATTATCTTCTCCCCGCCAAATGATCAAAAATATATTTTCCGGCTTTGAATAACATGCAAAGGGTCGACAAGCCATAAAAAAATAAACCAATCAAATCAAACCACCGACCAGGGAAAGGTCTGGTACATAGCTATTTTTTTCTTTGCCTTCAACGACCCCGAAACTGACACAATTGCTGAGCGCGTCTCTGTTAATCTGAGATAGGCTCACATTCTAGCATCACTTCAATGGGATGGTTATATGAAATGAATACAAGAGCTTCTTTCAAGTATGGCTGTTTGTGTAAACATAAACTCTAACCAGAAAGGCTATTTAGAGAAATATGTATTCAACAAGATTAATAAAGTAAATAAAGAATATAGAATGTTTCGATGGTCAAATACTCCAGTGTCTACGTTCAAAAGCTATTTCTTTATGAACAAAGACACTTTGAAAGAGAGAGACGCGAGAAATGGCATCGGCTTAGACTTTGTAAACATGGCGACCTCCTGTAGGGCAATTGTCAGCAAGTTAATCTTGTCCACAATTGCTACTGAGTAGTGAGTTCGATCTTGCGCGGAAGCTCTATTCTTGAATATTAAGCTTAGTATTTTTATTAGTTTGCATTAGGCGTGAAGGCAATAGTTAACGAGCTAATCTTATTGATGATTGTACATACATATATATATATATATATATATATAATACATATATATATATATATATATATATATATATATATATATATATATATATATATATATATATATATATGATCACTGATCCAATACTCATAAAAAAAATAAACAAAAAAAAACAATTATACTTTAAGAGCCGACATCCTCAAATTAATATATAAAAAAGAAATAATTAATTAAATAAAATACACACACACGCAAACAAACAAACACGTCACAACATTCCTTGTCTATATCTCTACACTCACCCGTTCTACGAAACTTATCATTGGTCGCTACTTAGCCTGAGTATGGCTTAAGAGAGTCGAAGGCTGGGACTATGCAGGAATATACATGACAAAGTGGAAAATGTTTTCGTTTGACGCGTTTCGTCTTTTACATAAGTTATGTTTTAGAATAAGTTGTCCAACCAAATCAAGAATGTAGATAATCTGTCCAAAGTTCGTATTTTCTTCTGTTGCTGTTCGAATATCTTCGACCTTCTCAGTCATTATTAAGAATTTTTTTATCTGCATTATTAATATTTTACAAGTATTGTTATTAGTATTATTACTATTATATAGATATTAAATATGTTAGGGTCACTTTAAAATACTATTTCTAACATTACATATATATGTGTATGTGAGCGTGTGTGTATATCCTCTAAATGTTTGATGAAAACCACAGGCAAAAATTTATTTTTACTTGGACTTTGTTAATAAATATTTCACTGAATTTTAAAAGTCTTATGAACACACACTGATAAATCTAAAACCGCATTATCAACAATATGTGTCAAGAATGACAACTACTGTTGTCTATGTCAAGGACCATCTCCCCCTGGCCAGAGAGTTGTCTCTCGAATCACCAGACCTTTCGTACATGTGTCTCCGTCTATCTCTCCTCAATACCATATCTTCTTCCTCTATCGCTCTCCATCCTCTCAAGACTGTGGGATACTCGATAGCATATCTGACAGCATAGACAAGGCCCTCTCTCCCCACCCGTTTGCTCATATATTCGTGTTTGGTGACTTTAAGGCCCATCACACCAAGTGGCTCGAGAATGCTACTACTGACCGGGCTGGCATTTAAACATTTAACTTCTCAATTTCTCAATCCCTCACGCAGATAGTCGACTTCCCCACGCGCTTTGCCCTCGACCTGGCAGGTAAGGCCTCTCTTCTCGATCTGTGTTTTACCTCCATCCCCGAATCTTGTAGCGCCACACAGCTCTGCCCGCTTGACAACTCCGATCACGCTGTGGTATCTGTCAACAGTTCCTTCAACTCTACACCCTGCAAAGAACCTCCCATCACAAGAACCTCGTTCTACTATCAACGAGCGGATTGGGACTCGTTCCGTGATTTCCTCCGCGATGTCCCCTGGGATGTTGTCTTTACACTCCCTATCCAAGAATGTGCTTCTGAGGTCTCATCCTGGGTTAAAGCTGGAATCGACGCATTCATCCCCTCAAAGAAATTTAAGGTCAAGTCGCACTCCTCCCCTTGGTTCTTCGCTGCTTGCTCATCTGCCATTGCCCATAGGAATCACTTCTTTCACCGATTTCGTAGCGACATGTCGGACTGCAATAGACGTCTCTTTGCCTCTGCCCGTAACGAGTGTAAGCGTGTCCTCAACGAAGCTAAGTCAATATTTGCTGCTCGGATGAAGGAACGTATTGCATCTCGCAAATTTGGCTCCAAAGATTATTGGCGGGTCTGCAAGAGTGTCTTGAACAATAGAAAACCCTCCATACCTCCTTTATTCAACCAGTTCGAGGTCTTGACCTTCTCTACCGACAAGGCTGAATGCTTTGCTTGGAAATTCTTATTTAATTCAACGCTCGACTCCACCGGTGTACCCATACCAGACTTCCCTCCTAGAACTGGGGCCTTACTGAGCAGCTTACACATAACCCCTTCATTGGTACTGAGCATTATCTCCAACTTAAACCCCCACAAGGCTAGTGGTGGAGATGGTATACCAGCCATTGTCCTGAAGAAATGCGCGCTTGAGATAGCACCCACCCTCTCTAAACTGTATAATTACTGCCTCAAGGAATCCTGTTTTCCTGACTGCTGGAAGTCCTCATCCATTGTTCCTGTGTTTAAGAACTCTGGAGACCCCTCTGACCCCTCTAATTACCGTCCTATTAGTCTCCTACCCCTCTTCGGCAAAGTCTTCGAAGCCCTAATCAATGCCAAAGTGGTTAATCACCTTACATCTCATAATCTGCTCTCAGACAAGCAATATGGTTTCCGCTACGCCCGATCTACAGCAGATGTGCTTACGGCCATCACTGAAACCGTTTACCAAGCCATTCAAAATAACGATGAGGCTCGTGCCGTGGCCCTCGATATCTCCAAAGAATTCGATAGGGTTTGGCACGCCGGCCTTCTTCGTAAGCTCCAGGGGTATGGTGTTACTGGTCAACTGTTTGATCTAATACAATCATTCCTGTCAAACCGAGAATTGAAGGTCGTTTTCAACGGATTCTCCTCCAGTTCCTATCCCACAAACGCAGGTGTTCCCCAAGGCTCCATCCTTGGCCACACTCTTTTCCTTATTTTCATCAATGACCTTCCTGACGCTATAGATTCCCAAGTTGGCATCTATGCAGACGACACTACAATTTACTCCTGCCTCAAAAACAAATCTAGTGTCGGCGACAAAACTAACTTGGCCGTGCGTCTTGAAATGGACCTCCAATCAGTTGTTAACTGGGGCAAGAATTGGCTGGTCAACTTTGACGCCACAAAAACTAAACTACTCTCCATTAACCACCATAGAGATCCTTCCCTGCCCCCATTAAAATGTCTGATAGTCAACTTCCTGAGAGCAACTCCCTGCGCCTGCTCGGTCTCACGCTGACTGCTGACCTGAGATGGAACAAATACATTGAGTCAATTGCTTCTTCCACCGCGAGGAAAGTTAGCTCTCTGTGCCGCGCCAGGAAATTTTTCTCCCCTGAATCGATACTTCAAATATACAAAACAACCATTCGCCCTTGCATGGAGTATTGCTGCCATATATGGGCTGGGGCACCTTCTGCTTACCTCGGAGTTATTGACAAGATCCAGAGACGGATATGTAATCTAATTGGCCCTGATCTAGCGTCTCGTCTGCAGTCACTCTCTCACAGACGCGCCGTCGCCCCTCTGTCTTTTCTACAAATACTTCCATGGTAACTGCTCTGACGAGCTGCTTTCTCTGGTTCCCAGACTCCATGAATTCAAGCGCCCTACGAGGCTGGCATCACGCTCCCACTCTTACACAGTAGAAATGTAGCCGTCTCTTCTACTCCAATAGCTTCATACCTCGCACCTCTCGCCAGTGGATCACCCTCCCCAATTACTGTTTTCCTGAAAGCTATAATCTCCAATTATTCAAATGTAATGTCAATCGACATCTCCAATTACCTTGATCTACCCACTATCCTTCTCCTCATCCTTTCTCCTATCACTCCTATCTGCTCTCGCTCCAAATCTTCCGCAACCCCCTGCATCCTAGTGGCTTCACGCCTTGCTTGGGGCGTAATGCTTAAAAAAACAAAAAAAAACAAAAAAAAAAAAAACAACAAATGCATTCGTCAGAGTTAGAGGTTATGCCAAAATTTATGCCGGTCTGCAGTGCATCGTTTTTATGTATTGAACGCCCCAGATATATATTTCCTTTGATTTCTGTTGTATACACATTTCCTTCCGTGGCCCAAACAGCGACCTATGGTCATGGCTTCATAATGTCTGAATCATTAGCTTTGATTATGCTGACTGACTGTATTTTAAAGTCCCATAAAATTATTATTGTTATTATTATTATTATTACATGTATATTAAATATTTTACACACACGTTAAAATACCATTTCTACCATTATATATATATGTGTTCATGAGTGTGTATGTGTGTAAATATATGATTAATAAGACAACCGAACATTGTATTTTTATAATATTTTTACTAAGCT